ATCTCAAGCACGTGAAGTGTATAGCTTTATGTAATCCAGCCATATTGTGTGCTGCAACGATGTACAGTGATCAGGGTGTCCAAGGGTGAAATGCATGCATAGAATGACTGAATTGAAAGTTTGCTTGGCCCGAGTTAACCAGTGGGAGAATTGATCATCCAATGGTCCATGAGGCAACTTAGTGTTATCTAGGGCAAGCTATACCATATCCTTTACAAATTCCTCGCTCAATCGGGTTTGACATGAATTTTCATCACGATCACGTATGTCGAGCCATTGGCTCAAATTCACATCGCAGGTCATATGAGTGTACAAACTTGAATATTGTGTGTTTAAATATAAATATTTAAATGTAAGTTGTATTATTATATAAGAATTATGTATTATGCATGTCAATTTTTTTTCATGTTAAATTATACTTCTTTTTCATGAATGGAGCAAATGGAAAGCAGGTAGATGGAAAGTAGATAGATTTTTGTTTTTAATCAAATTTCCTTTCATACAGATCCAGCTTCTGTCAAATAAAATACGATCGGAATAACGACATGCAAGGGACTCCTTCAAAGGTCCACGGCTAAATACCCTCCACTTCTGACTTTCTTCTCCAAGTACTATTTTTCAAATCACCCACCTGCTCCCTTCTTTGATCCAGCCAAGCTAATCTGCCCATGGAGTCCTTCCACTTGTGCTCATTCCGATTCAATCAGTTCTCGAACCATGGATCCACGGCGGATTGTTTTGCAGTAGGGTTTTGATTAAGAAAGCTTTCTCTTGCCAAATTTATGCTGCATCTCGTCTTTCACTCTTAATTAATTTGCTTGCTCTAGAATTGAATAGGAAACAAAATCAAGTCTCTGATCCCCGGTTGAGATAACCAATCATATGTGATGCCACTGTGATAAATGCGGTTAGAAATCAGGAGTTTTTGGGAATATTTTGGTTTATAGCCTCGGAGCAATCTTCAGAATGGGGATGAGAAAGGCGTCGCCATTTTTTGTCGTTCTATTGGGATTTGGGTTCTTCATTGCGACCTACAATCTCGTGGCTCTGGTAATGCATAACCAAAATTGGAATTCTCCACTGCAATTGGTGGATCGTTCAACGCTTGCTCTTCGATCTGATCCTGTTGTTAGGATGCCAAATGAATTGAAGAGGTCGGGAGGTCCAAAGAGGCTGTTTCATGTGGCTCTCACTGCGACCGATGCGCCTTATAGTAAGTGGCAGTGCAGAATAATGTACTATTGGTACAAAAGGATGAAGGATGTAGAAGGATCAGAAATGGGAGGATTCACGCGGGTTCTGCATTCAGGGACTCCGGATAATTTGATGGATGAGATCCCTACCTTTGTCGTCGATCCTCTACCTGCTGGTATGGATAGGGTAAGGAATCTTCCCTCTTAATAATTTCTCCAGATTTCTTGAGATATGCATGCTTGATTATATTTTATATTCCTGAATCTTACATCTGGTTGATATTCATTTCTTCGTGGTTTTCATTTCTTCGTTTTCATTTTTTTGAAATGTTGCTCTCCCATGAACAAAAATATTGTGATTAAATTAAGTATGGTGGTTCTGTTGCATTATTTTGATTGTTCTTTCTATTTGGATAAATCTTTCTTTTGCCTTCTGCTGTTTGTCAGTTTCCACGGCATTTGAACGTATATTGTTATCTTAATGATGGAGTTTTAGTATAATATTGAAGTCTGTATC